CCATCCCCGAATCCTTCTTCTGTGGCGGGAGGCAGTGGGCCTGCCATAGCATTTGGGTTGAGTTTGGGAAACTCAGGCCCAGCTGGCGATGGATTTGCATGAGGAAATGGGGTTTTGCCCAGAAATACCTGGGAGCTTGGGGCCAAGCTCCTTGCAGGCTGTGTGGAGGGGCGGAGTAGCTGGGTCCTGAGGGCCAAGGAGCTCCTGCAGTAGCCTGTGACATGGAGCCCGGAGGCCCAGAGGCCCAACACCATCCACAGGCCTCCCAGGGGCTTCTGACCAGTGACTGAGGGGCTGCTTCGCCGAGGCCGGGCGGGGAGCAGGTGCCCCATGACTCACGTGTCCCGCTGAGGTGCCCCGAGGTTGGCCTGGAGCCCGAGCCCACTGTTCTGACCTGGACAAGGACCAGGGCAAGGGTGTTCTTTCTGGACCACTCCATAGGTGGTTCTTTCTGGACCACTCCACAGGAGCGCAGCTAGGGAACCTGGTTTCTCTCCTGAGATTCGACTGCTTCTGTGCAGAGTGGGGTTCAGCCCATGGAGTTGGGGCACCCTGGCGCCAGCCAGGAGAGGGAGGCAGGTGCTGGCTGCTGTCATGGTCAGATTGGCCTGCTGTGCCTGGTTGCATGGGTGCTTCTGTGTGAGTGGTCTTTGCATGACAGTCACATTCCCCAGGGACCGTGGACCCTGTGGCAGGGTGAGCCTCGCCCAGTCAGTCAAGTCCCGAGCAGAGCAAAGCCTGGCGTCCCTGGGCAGGAGACGACAGCCCCAGATGCCTCTGGCCTACCACTGCAGCCCTTCCTGGGTCCTCAGCCCCCTGGGCCACTGGATTGGATTTGGACTCACCAGGCATCATGAGCCAATCCCTAGGCCTCTCTGCACACACCTTCCAGCTGTGGCTCTGTGAGGAGGGGGTTGGGACAGGAGGGGCCTTTGGTGGCTGTAGAGGGTGTGGCCCAGAGGACTGGGAGCTATTTTTTTGAGACAGAGTCCTGCTATGTAGTCCTGGGATAGCCTTGAACTCACTATGTAGCCCAGAGTGGCCTGGAACTCAAGGTGATCCTCCTGCCTCAGCCTCTTGAATGCTGGGATTGGTGGTTGTGCACCACCATGTCTGGGTCTTGAGCCTTGCTTTTTGCTAAAGGCTTCTACCTATGGTGGAACTTTCAGGGCATCTTGAAAACCCTCCATGATCCCCAGAAGATGAACACTTGGAGAAAATGAAAGACCTTCCAAAGGGGGCTCCTGTCACCCCCTCTCCACCCACCGAGGTCTCTTCTCTCTGCGGTGGGTGTCGTTGGTGGATCCTGGCTGGGTTGGGGTTCCTCACCTGGTCACCTGCCCCCTGGGTGCTGCTGCCTGGGGCTGGGTGGATGGACTGCATCCCAAACTCACAGTCCCAAAAGTCTGGCTTTTTACTGTGGTGAAATACATGAGACAAACCTTCCCATCAGAGCTGCCTGCTGTGCACCCTCTGGTGGAGCCAGCCGGAGCTGGGGCTTGGCCTTCACTGGAGCCTGGCTGCAGGACTTTCTAACCCCAAGGGGATCCCACACCTGCTGAGCCACCTACCCCAGAACACAGCCCGGGGTTAAAAACAGTGTCCACCCAGAACCTGTTCTTGCGTGGCCCAGCACGGAAACCATCCCATTTTAGCTGCCGTTGCCGTTTATCTGTGGTTTTGAAGTTCAGATGTTACTGTCTTTGCTTAAACCAAGTACGCTTTCCTTTCCTGTTTCCCTGTGACCTCTTCTGGACACCTGGCCCAGGATGTGGGGCTGCAGGAGCAGGTGCAGGCGGGCCCCGCATTTCAGCCTGCAGTGTGGACCTGGGTTCCAGGGTCGCTGCCCTGCACACGGACCAATGCCCAGCGCTGGGTCTGAGCCTGGGTTGGCCGCTAAAGCAGCTGCCATGGCTGGGAGGAGAGGGACAGGCCCCAGTCCATGCTGGGCCTGGGGCAGGCAGAGGGTGGGCCACAGCTCTGGGTTGGGGGGCACCTGCTGAGGGGTGCAGGCCAGGCAGCAGAGGAGCACGAGCTTCTCTTGGAGGAGCCCAGGCCCTGCCTTCACCATGACACAGGTGGTGGTCACAGTCCCTGCCCTGGGCCCGAGCGGGACTGACCTAGCTGGGCACAGAGTCTGTGCACTGATCGCTCCCTGGCTGCTGTGTGGACGGTGCTGGGGGTAGCCTGTGCCTCCACTGACTCTCCTGCCCCTCTGCCCACCCTGGCAGCCCTGGGTGTGCTCACCACTCACCATGAAGGAGTAGCAGAAGGTGGTGTAGGAGCCCATGAAGGCCAGCAGAAAGCCAGGGGCACTCCAGGCAGCTAAGGACAGCCATCCCAGGAGGGAGACCTGGCCATCTGGAAGCCAGTGGGTAGCCCATCTGCACCAGCCTGGGGTAAACGGTGAACGGGGCGGGGAGCTCGGGTGCACCCCTCACGTTTCTCAGTCGCTCTGGCCCTGCTTCCCAGAGGATGAAACCCAGAGACAAAATCCAAAGTGCACTCCCGACAAGCTGATCCCGCCTCTGCCCGCCTGCCTTGGGGACGGGATGGAGGCGTCTGGGCCTCCGGTTCTGGGTTAGACGGTGCCCAGAGCCTGTGGTGCCAGGCCTGGCACTCACCTGGCCGCCCCATCTGCTGCCCACCAGCTCCGGCAGCAGGATGCTGTGCTGGCCCACACCCGCCGGAGCCTGGGGGCTGTCTGTGGCAGGGCGGGCCCCAGATGCCAGGATGCAGGGTGCTGGCAGATAGCATCACTCTGTCTGAGTCCAGGCGCAGTGCACGGGGGAGAGGGGCCTGGCTTGCGGCCCTCGAGACACACCGAAGTACTGGGGTCCCAGGGGTGAACGGGACCCTGGGCTGTGGCTTAGAAGCAGCCTTTGCAGGTGCCGCCGGGACAGGGTCTGCCGGGCTTCCGGGAGCCAGGTGGGAGGATGGCCGGGGCCAGAGGGGGCCGGCACCAGGGCTGCTGAGGACTGGAGGAGCGGGTGCCTGTGGGCAGGAGGTGCGG